TTTTGAGGAGCATTTTTTCAATAGGTAAGAGATAGAAAACAATAAGATATAGTTATTACTTTGATAATATTAAATCTTATTATAATAAAAGCAAACACGGGATAGTGTCCAACTAGCAGAAGAGCTAATTGGATTTAAACACAGAGGAGACCCTTCCTTTCTTCATTTCCTGGTTAGGAATGAGCAAATTGTTCAGATCCCTTGGAAGCAGGAAGTCCTCCATGGTTTAGAAAATAATGACATTCTCTTTTGCTGCAAATACAGGGGGAATTTGTCCTTCAGCTCCTCTAGAGGAATCTTGGGTATAATTATCATAAATCACAGGAGTGCGAAACTGAGAACTGGTGAAATTTCAGAGTAAATATAAATCCAATGGAATATATCAAGCATATAATATGTGATAGTCTTTTGAGTTTTTCAGGATCTGTTAAACTGGAATTTAGCCTTCTTCTATAGCAGTGTTTCTCAAACTTCCTAATGCTACGGCCCTTTAATACAGTTCCTCATGTTGTGGTGACCCCCCACCCATAAAATGATTTTTGTTGCTACTTCCTAACTGTAATTTTGCTACTCTTATGAATCAGGTGACCCCTGTGAAAGGGTTGTTTGACACCCAAAAGTGGTTGCAACCCACATGTTGAGAACCGCTGCTCTATAGTATCAAACATTAGCATTGTTCTAAAATAATGCTTTTTTTTAATACCTCATACGGCAGTTTCACAATTTCCTGTGAACTTGTGAAGGGGTGGAGTCTAGTCTGTCAATCAGGTCCCAGCTTGATGACCTCATTTGGAGGCACATAATTACATATAATAGTTTACATATCATTCAACTGAATACTTCAATCATTCAATCATATCAATGGGAATTGTACAATTGTCACTGAATCAATCACTGGGCATCCCTCCTTCCTCATGGTTACATCACCTTCAACATGAGTTGTGCATTCATGATCAATTCTAGTTCTCCCTCCACCCTCCCTTTCCATTCTCATAATCTGCTTTCCCTTCTTATCACCCATTTCCCACATCTGCATACCCTATAACCACTTGAATCTTTATATATTGTCCTGATATATTCTTATGTATCCATTCCTACTGTTCTAAACCTTTAAGAAATTCAAAAGAAAACAATGAAAAGCAAATTGCACTAAGGTGGTAAGGATAAGATCATATTAGTGTAAACACAAAAAAATAGAAACAATGGGTGAGAGGGACAAGACTCCCATTGGCATTCAAAAAGCCATGGAAGAAATTTCTGTCATGGAACAACTAAGAGATACTTGCCTCCAGAACGATTTCATTTCCTGTCTTTAGGGAGGTCAACTGGCTAAGTCCTATGTTGGATTCAGCATAATCAAGATTACAGTGCTCTCTGCCTGGTAGTAAGGCTGTTTTGGACTCTTGCCCTTGCCTAGAA